TTGAGGCGGCAGATGTACAGAAAGCTACCTTACTCGGGGGAGACAGAGGAGAGAAAGCAATAGAAAGAGTACAAAGTGTGGGTAAAGAGGGAAGAACAGAGAAGAGAAAGACAGATGTATAATGAGTCCGGAAAAATCCTGTGGGCCCAGCCCCTTCAGACCTACGGATGGAGAACAGTTCATGACTCAGTAAAGGGGGAATGCCAAGAAGGTTCGACGTTGAAGCCATAAAATTGAAGTGGGCAGAGAACACGCCAGAGTGGATGGGTGCCAAACCCAAATGGTCTCACCCTGTTACCAGTTATTCCCCATTGTCATACCATGAAGAGATATCCAGTTTTAATAACGTTAAGACATGATTTATTGTTGAATTTGGATGATGATAGACAAGGCTCAAAAACTGATGAAGACATATTAAATAATAAACCAGTTTTATTAGAAGAATTGGGTGTGATAACTGCTTCTTTGGACAAAGTTAAGAAAAAGGAGGTAGAAGACAGGCGGCAAGATCACATATTACTAATAATAATCTTGTGAAGTAAATTCTAACTTCTGGAAAACCTTTTCAGGGCTTTCTAGATAAAGACTACTCAGAAGCGGTTAATCATTCCCTTTTTCTGGGGGTGCCCTTGGACTCTGCAGCTTGCTCAAGGCCACATAGGCTGACTCTACTCAAGGAAGGCACAGTGTGGAATCAAATCTTCAGCATCTGGCTCCACAGCCAGATACCTAAACCACTGAGCTATCCAGCCAGCTCCCCAAATCATGTGCCGTCAAGTCAATTTCGACTCATGGCAACCCTTTTTCAGAGTTTTATAGGTAAAGAATAGTCAGAAGTGAGGTACCATTCCTGTTTTCTGAAGCCACCCTAGGACTGGGCAACTTACCCAAGGTCACACAAGCTGGTTCTACTCACAGAAAGCACAGTGGGGTACCAAACTCTCATCCTTTGGCTCTGCAGCCAGATACCTAAACTACTTAGCTATCCATGAGAGACAGCACAGTCTTTGGCTGACTTAATAAAACAGTATTAAAACTATTCCAAAATAAACCACCAGACACAAAGAATCTTGATCACTAGTGGAAACGTCCTCTTCCCCAGACAAGGCCCGGGGGCATGCAGTTACTATCTAGTTCAAGGCACTCTTGGATATCACACATTTTGTGGATCCTCTTTAATAAGGGTCAAGGCCAGGTTTCAGCACAGGAGCTACCTTGGAGACCCTGCAAAGTCATCTATAATAGGAGTGAATACAATTTTCTCTTGTATTCTTTAAGACAGGGGTCCCCAACCCCCAGTCTGTGGAATGGAACGTGCGCATATGTGCGCACACTCCAGCCCATCCAAACACATGAACACATACATGCATGCACACACATGCCCATCCCCCTACCCCTGCATGCACGCCCACCTGCACACGCACACGCACGAATGCCCCTCGCACGCACGCATGGACAAACACCCGCCACCTCCCTGGTCCTTGGGAGACAGTTCTTCAATGAAAACAGTCCCTGGCGTTAAAAAAAAGGTTGGGGATCATCACTTTAGGAAACACAGTGTAATTTGCAGTAGCTATGCCCCTATATGGGTCGGTGGTATACAAAAGATGGTGTCTGGAAGATGCTGTTTTGCATCATGGAGTCCCAGTTTTGAATTCTGCAAGGTTACCCTTGTACCATATACAATTTAATATTTAAATTAAACTGCTGCTCAGAGTTGTATAGGAAGTTGTCAGTATGCTGAAAAAATGTTATTACTAATTCTCATCTTCAACAGATATAGTGATGGATATGATGAACTGGTGCCTGGATGCAACAATAGACTAAGTGAAGGCCAATAAAGTGAGGTTCAACTGTAGACAAGACTGATACTGCTAGTAAGTGCTTATTCTGGCCAGAGGAGCAGTGTCCTACCTGTTCTGCATTGGGGCTGTACTCCATCTGAAGGAGCAGGTTCACAGTTTAAGATTTTTTCTTGATCCTTTATTTTTGACATTGGCTTGAGAATACAAAATGCTTTTTACACATTTCATCTAGCCTACCTATATTCCAATCTGGACAGGAATAATATAACTTCAGTTGGCTAGATTCCAGTAATTTTCATATAGATGACAATGGTACCTTGACTTACAAACTTATATCCATTTTGGAACGACGTTCGTACATTGAAAAGTTCGTATGTCAAAGTACTATTTACCACTGAAATGCATGGGAACGGAATTAATCCGTTCCAGCATTTCAAAAGGCAAAAAGGCAGAGGGAACGGGCTGGAAATTCCAATTTTCTGCCCTTTCTTCCTGCCTTTTTGGCTTTGGAGGTCTCAAACGGCTTCCTCCAATGTCGGGCGGAGAGCCCTTTGAGACCTCCGAAGGTGCTGATCCCGGTGGCGGGGACTCCCAGGGAGGTCTCCCAGGGCTTGCCTGCCACCATGGGAGACCTCCCTGGGGCTCCCCCCGCCTTTGGAGCTCTCAAAGGGCTTTCCCCCGACATCGGAGGGAGACCTCCGAAGGCAAAAAGGCAGGGAGAAAGGGCTGTCAATTTGAATTTCCCGTCCTTTCTCCCTGCTTCAGAGGTCTCAAAGGGCTTTCTTCCCGACATCAGAGAAAGCCCTTTGAGACCTCCGAAGCCAAAAAGGCAGGGAGAAAGGGCGGGAAATTCGAATTTTGCAGGTAGAACCTTTTTGCAGGGAGCCATTTACGAACAGCTATGTTCGAAAAAATTGCATTGACTTGCAAATGGAGTCTCGACCTCATTCGTAGGTTGAGCTCCATTTGCATGTAGATGCCAATTTTTGCCAACGGAGCCATTTGTAAATCAAAAAGTTCTTATCTAGGGACGTTTGTAAGTCGAGGGTTGACTGTACTGAAATGCAGTATAAGTGAAGCCTTCTTAGAAGACAGTTTGGAAAATTCAGGTAGTGCAGAATACATTTAGCAGACTGATCATGAGGACTAGAAGGTCTCATCATACACTATCTATTAGAGACCATCTGTACTGGCTCACCACACATTTCTCAGCCCAATTCTGAACAATGATTTTAATCTATAAGCCTCAGAATCCCTCTATCATGAATCTGCTTGCACCCTTCAATATTTGAAGCTATCCTTTAAATTATCTCCTTCTGAAAAATATTTGAGAGGATAATAAGAAGCATCATGAGTTTTTCAATTATGGCCTCATGTATATGGAATTTCCATCTTTTTTGTGATGTTTTCCAACTCTTAGGCATTAGATGGAATAGAACTGGATTTTAAAATATGAGCTCTGGAACAATTGATGATCCCTCACGACTAGACAAAAAATGGTCAAGAGGAACCTTTACCTTTACCTATAGTATGGGAAATGTGCTGCTTATATATTGTTTTTCAATTACGTTCTACATAGATATAGTTTTTACAAATGTTTTTTTAAAAAAATGGTACAAATCTGAAAACACCACTGACAAAATGTCATATCAATGTCTTTTTAAAGCAACTTTTGAAGGCAGATAGAAAGCATTAGTTATTATTCAACAAACTAATTTCACTTATAATCATTCAACTATTTTTGAAATGTAACAGTTATCATCACGATTACTATATAAAGTAACTTTTACTGGTAACTGTGCTATTTATAATTTTCTACTTTCAAGCTCTGATTTTACTTCTGATCCACAGGCTAAACAATGACTACAGCTTTTTCTGTGTACAAGTCGCCTGAAACATTCCCCCACCCTTTTGAGGGAGTTAAATATAAATAATGTCCTGGATTGTTCACGGGGGGCAGTTGTTTGTAAAATGAGCAGTGAAAGCCATGCATTTCTGGGATAGAAAACAATGTAAGGTATAAAAAAGACTAGTTCTGTGCTGTTGATGGGGGTGGGGAGGATGAAAAGCATGGATGCAGGACAGGAAAGAACTCAATGCTGCAAAGCTGCCAGACTACAAGGGAAAAATTAAAACATGTAAAACAGACAGGTATCTGGATAGGAAGAGGAATAGGAGCTAAAAATATGGCTAAGGGAGACAATGGTCCAAAAGAAATAAATGTAGCAGATAAATCAAATAAATAATAAAGAAACATAACCTATACAGAAGTTCTACATTTTAGGAGAAAACAGAGCTGGTGGATTGCTGGCAAGATAGAGGAAAAATCGAGGTGGTAGGAACAAGAATATCATTATAGCCCAATATTAATCTGAAGACCTCCACTTCAAACTCCCAGATTACGAAGGAAAAAAGAATGCTAAAAATCATTAACAATCTGCTGCATTTCAAGAATCAGCTCTGTATAAATATCATTATTATTAATCAATCCAAATTCTAATACAAGCAACAACACACCTTTTTGTATTACTGAGCATGTAATAGGAAAATTCGTATACTGTAAATTTGTATACAGTAAAGTTTGTATACTGATAAGATTATCAACTATGATACTAACTGGAATATATGTTTTAAGTGTCCATATGCTTTATAAGTGACAATCTAAATTCATACTAAAGTTTATTGCACATTATTTATTAATATTAATGATACTGTATTATACTGGAACAGTGCAACCACTACTGACATCAATGGTACTCATTCAAGCACATTGTTCAGGGCCAACATTTAAAACTTACACTTAAGAAAGGATGTACCTTTTCTGCACTAGTTAACACGAAGCCACACTTCCAATATTCCTGTACTTCTCTACTAAAGTGATGGCTAGCTGTACATACCACTGACAACATGATTATATTCATCAAAATTAATTTTTATCCTCTTGTGTCCAATGGAAGGAATCAATAATGTACACAGTACTCTTACACTGCAGTCCTATTAAGGCTTACTTAGAAGTAAGACTTAGGCTTTCTTTCTATTAAGTATATTCAAGACTGCACTGTTACTCTAGCAACCTGATATAAAATTAAAATAATGAAATTGTAAATATCTTAAAGGAAGCAATGCTTCAGTCTCATTTACTCAAAACTGCTTTGTATCATTTAAGGTATTAAGGCCCTTTTTAAATAAACATAACTCACTGTTTGTTTTCTTCACCAGGAGGTGGAGTCTTGCCATGCCCTTCCATTACAAAATCCTCATGTTCCATCTGCGAAGGCAAGCATTGGAGGTCAGCATTGATGGAGCAAATACATGCTGTCCCATGTGGTCTTTTTCCCTAGCACATTCTATCAGCACTTTTCCCTACTAGCCCTAACCAAAGATTGTCACTTATAGTTCAAAAAATGCACACCCCACAGTCATACTTTTATTCCAATGATCCTCAGTACAGTGGTGCCTTGCTTTACGATTGCCCCACATTACGAGTCAGCTTAACGACGATCTTTTTGTAATCGCAATTGTGATCGCAAAACGATGGTCTGAATGGGGGAATTTTGCTTCGCGATGATCGGTTCCATTCTTCGGGAACCGATTCTTCGCAAAATGACATTTCTGAACAGCTGATTGGCTGTTTCAAAATGGCCGCCGGGTGATTAAAATGGCTCCCCGCTGTGCTTAGGGACGGATTCCTTGCTATACAGGCAGCAAAAATGGCCGCCATATGGAGGATCTTCGCTGGACGGTGAGTTTTTACCCAATTGGAACGCATTGAATGGGCTTCAATGCATTTCAATGGGGTTTTTATTTTCGCGTTATGATGTTTTCGTTTAACGGCGATTTTCCTGGAACGGATTATCGTCGTTAAGTGAGGCACTACTGTATATACTTAAACCTTGGATAAAGCTGAACACAAGATAAAATTTTTTAAGAAAATAGAATATCAAAATGATTTAATCAATCAAAATGATATATCCAGTAACAGAATATTAGTATACAAGATTCCTTTCAGTGAAGATTCTGAATGGTTCAAACAGAAAAGCTGTATGAAAGACTGTTGACTAGCAATAAGTGAAGGGAGAAGGTGGTCTGCCCACCTTTGTGTTTAATGTGAAAACTTGGGTTTAAACTTTTAAGAACGTGAGAACAGTCATGCTACATCAGATCAAAATGGGTGAGATTCAAGACCTATTTTGTCCAGCATTTCGATCACCGTAGCTGAGGAACATGTAATGGAGATGTATTTTGCTTGTGCAAGATACTAGTCCATTTCTATCCTATGTTCCTCAGCCACATGCAAGACACAGGTGAATCTCCATTCCCTGTTCCTCAGTAATCACTTTAAAGAGGCATACCATTTCTAATACTATTTATTTATTTATTTTATATCCCACCCATCTGGTATATTCTACTAGAGATGATTAATAGTTATCCTGGCTAAAAGTAATTGGCAGTCCCGTCCTCCATGAGTTTATCTAATCCATGTTTAAATCTATCCAAACTGGCAAATACCACTACATCTTGTAGCAATGAATCCCAGTTTAACCATATATATTTTATGAATAGGATAATACTTAATTACAGTGGTGCCTCGCTTAACGAGCGCACCGTATAATGAAGAATCCGTATAGCGATCCCTTTTTGGGGATCGCTATACGGAACTGCCCCAATCGCCGCACTCGCTTTGCGACGATTGGGGCGTCCGGCGGCCATTTTGGAGCCGCCGTTGGCGCCTATTGGAATGCATTAAACTAAGTTTAATGCGTTCCAATAGGCTTTTCCTGCCACGTACAGCGATGTTTTCACATAGCGAAGGTTAATCCGGAACGGATTAACCTGGCTATGCGGGGCACCACTGTACCCTACTTTAGTGAATGGCCATGGGTTCAAATGATGAGAGAAAGTCTTCTTGGTATCCATTTTTCCATACCATATAGCTGTCTCCTCTTATCTGTCTTTTTTCTAAGTGAATGCTGTAATCATAACTTATTCATGCTCCTGGACAGTTGCCAGTATAGGGAATGCAGTGGTTGTCACTAGGGAACTAACTACTGTAGTAGGGAATGAGCTTGGTGAGTAAGTAAATAAAGCTAAACCAAAGCATACTGTCCTGACACAGTACACTATTTCCTTCAGCAATAAACAAATGAAGAAGAGTGGGGGTATCACAAGCTCTGATTTGGGGAAAGAAGCAGAAAGTGACGAAATAAACAAAGGTGGGGCAGAAGGAATGCCAAAGGGAAATTGTTTGATTTCAGAAAGAAAAATCAATGGGCACAGATACAGTGGTGCCCCGCATAGCGAGGTTAATCCGTTCCGGATTAACCTCGCTATGCGGAATCGTCGCTAAACGGGTAGGGAAAAGGTATTGAAACGCATTAAACTTAGTTTAATGCGTTCCAATACCTTGCTTACTTACCCATTCAGCGAGGATTCCCCTTGCCGACAGCCATTTTCGCGCCCTCGCTAAGCGAGGGCAGGGCGTGAAAACGGCTGCCGGCAGCCATTTCCGGGCTTCCAGCGGCCATTTTGGAGCTGCCAAACAGCTGTTCGGCGGCTCCAAAATGGCCGCCACAATACCCGATCTTCGCAATGCGGGTTTTCCCCATTGCGAAGATCGGGTATGTTTCCGTATAGCGATCCCGAAAAAGGGATCACTATACGGAAACATCGCTATACGGTGCACTCGCTAAGCGAGGCACCACTGTATAAGTAAATAGAAAAGGGAGTTTTAAAACCAAATTTTGCAAAAACCTTCCTTTCAGGCAGACTTTTAAGCAATAAGTTGGGGTCTAGGGAAAGCTCTATTTATGAAATATAATTTTTAAAATGTTTTAAAATTGTTTTTAATCTTGGTTAATGTATAATTGTGTGAGGGTGCCATTCCCAAGGTTGCTAAGCTATTCACTTAATCTACAGTAGAGGGCAAACCCTCCTGGATGATGTCACAGCTGCTTCTGAGGGGCATGACTGCCCACCATTCTTCTTTCTCATAGGTCCTAGAGAGTTTGCATAGAGCATTTCCTTACGCCAGTTATAATGGCATGATGTAACCATTGTCCTAGCTGAACTCTGTAACCTATCTGTATACTGTCCACTATCTGTGAGCTTGTAAGGTTAATAAAAGCACAGTCCTCCTGGGGGCAGGGCAGAATTCATTGGAAACCCATTAGGTGTTATTCTGCCTCTTCTACTAGTCGCCCACCAGGAGCACTGCTGGCAGACATCCCGGTGTGTGGCTTACTTCTTTAACGTCTATCTCTAAGAAACTGTTTGCTATCATAATTATCTGGTGATCACCAAAAGCCCATCAGCCTACTCATTTCATGACACCAACATAATTGTTTTTCATATAGCTTTGTATAGTATTTTAAACGTATTATTGTACAGTTTAAATTGTTGTGAGACACCTTGGGTCCCCTACGGGAATAAAGGCAGCATATAAATGAATGAATGAATGAATGAATGATTTAAATAAATAAATAAAATTTGAAGATATCCCAGGATCTTACAGGAGAGTTAAAACCGTATTCTCTAGTGTCTAGATTGTAGCAGTGGACACAATATGTTGCTCTAGCATCTTGGGCCTAAAGTTCACTGACAAGACACTCATATAGGAATATTTCTCCAAACAAAAGACATTATTGTACACATGAAACTGCATGTCAGTGAAAATAACAAGCTAGAAACCTTCCCTAACATTAAAGCTCTATGTGAGTGGGTATGTATTTTTACATTCTCTTACAAATATCTAATCTCTATGACATTTAAGGCATTTTCCAACTGTTGCTGAGGAGTAAAAGCTATCCTAATACTTCTGAAAATTGATGAATGAACAATTTAAGAATTGGAAATAGGAAACATTTTTCCTACTAGGTGCTGCTTGATTGTTTTTCATTGGGAAATGTTGGTTGAAATCTTGCTGCTATAAATTAATGTGTGAGGCTGATTACATCGATAACAGTGGTGATTCCCCCCCCTCGAAACAAAATATCTTTTGTTCTCCTTACTAAAGGTCCCAAGTCTCCTGTACGTTTCCTTTCATCACAGGGAAGCTGTTGGGGTTGGCGCAGAATGGAGGACATGAGTCTTTCATTTCCAGAAATGGCTGCTGATTTTTGAAAATTAAAGACTTCCCTGCCCTGCGGTTCCCTACAGCTCCCTGGCAATGAAAGAAAATCCTTGGGCACCTCAGGATGTTTGGGGGTGTGGTAGAGGTTTTTTATTTCTGAAAAACTGACATAGCGAATGATGGAATCAGTCTTACACAGTATAAGGTAAAGCAACAGGATTTCATCTGCTATAAAATTATCTCCTTGGAGGTAGTTTAGAATATTCAGGTGAGCCACGAGGTGTGTCTTTCTAGTACAGTTTTGGAATCTCCAATGTACAATGTTAGTGTGGTTTTTGCAATTCCAGTTTTACTCACTGAGATAGCATTTAGGAAGGAGAATAATACTTTTGTCACCCATGGAAAGAGAGCTACACTGGAAAGCAAATTATTGCATTTTTCCATGTATAAAACAACACTTGTCCCTAAAATAATTACAGGAAAAATTGAGGTTCATTTTATACACAGAAGGAGGCAGAGGCAAAGGAGCAGTTGTGCACCCTCGGGCACCTCTTGCTGCTGCCTACTGACTGCTGCTGCTGCCGCCCAACTGCCTCCTCCAGAGCTCACGTTGCTGCCCTCCGGCAGCGGAGCTAGCAACAGCAGCAGCAGGAGACAGAGGCAAAGGAGCACTCACAAACGCTTGGGTGCCTCTTGCTGCTGCCACCGCCCAACTGCCTCCTCCAGTGCGACTGCCGGGGCTCACCTCCAGCTCATTTCACCGCCTTGTCACCTCTGGTGGCTGGCACAGGCAGCAGCAGCAGCAGCAGGAGGCAGAGGCAAAGGAGCAGTTTTTTCTGGCATCCAGTTAATCATGGTTAACATGTCAACACTATCGTATAGAGACAGATAGCATTGCATTGTAACAGGACCCAGAGTATGTATGTATTTAGGGATACCAGAATTAAGACTAGAGGTATATGAGTGGCATCCAATAAGATTTGTGTCCAAATAATGACTGTACAAATCAGGACAGAAAACTGTTTCAAAAGGAATAAGACTAAACATACAAAACACTCACCATGACTTTGAAAACTTGTCTGTTTATGTCAAAATAAGGAGATAAAACGTTGTTCAACAGTACTAAAATTTTTAAGTTTGACATTTCCTTTTCCTATGCATACACTCTTTCTCACTCAGCTCCAGAACTACAGAGCAGT